TTTTGCTTATTTTGCAGATTTAATTTGTTTGTTATCTATGGAGATATTATCCATGCAATCTTTTGTAATTCTTTATCATATGTAGGGAATTAATTGATCAAGCATGCAAGGAGAAGAGAGTACTCTTGACCAGGGATGCTAAACTGCTGAGACATGAGTATTTGCTATGCAATCAAATATACAGAGTTAAAAGTCTTCTAAAGAACGAGCAGTTACTCGAGGTATAGATGCCAATTTATTATAATTATTGGCTATGGAAGTCAAAAGCACTAGTTAGCATATAGTGGACCAACCACGGTGGTGATCTTGGAAACAATTTTGTGAGAGAACTAAGCCTCTTGAACGTTCCTTAAATTCCTGGATCTCCTTCTTTCGATAATAATACAAATTACAATATCACATTGGCTTTCATGTATCAAATGCGGGTCCCTATCACTCTCCATTTCAAATTCGGTGGAGAATTATAGGTTGAAAGATTTTTGGAGATGGGAACGGAAAAAGGAACTTGTAATTAGATCAATGAAGTAATAAAGATTTAGAGCCTTGGGACTTTGGAGTATCTTGCCTTAACAGCCTAGTTCTGGAAACAAAATCAAATCTCCAGTTCGGTTATTTTGTAGATAGGAGGCCCATGATTCTAATTTTTCAATCATTTAAAGTGACTATACAATTGTATAACACCTAAAATTTATCTGTTGTAGGTTATTGAAACTTTCAATTTGAAAATTAGTGAGGATCAGCTGATGTCTAGATGTACCAAATGCAATGGAAGGTTTATTCAAAAGCCGCTTACAACGGAGGAGGCTGTGCTGGCAGCAAAGGGGTTCCAAAGAATTCCGGACTGTTTGTTCGACAAGAATTTAGAGTTCTGGCAGTGCATGGACTGTCACCAACTATACTGGGAGGTAATATTCTTCTGTGCCTTCGTTCTGCAATGAGAAAAACTTTTGAGTGGGGAGGTCTTCATGCACTGAGACAATATTGGTAATACATTCTTTTTGAGGCTTAACAATTTAAGCTATGCAATACCTGGCGATAAAATATTGAACTTTCTCATAAAGGGATAAATAGTAAAGCATAAGATTGATTTTGTTTAGTCTTTTTTTTTACTTATTTAATGGCCCCAACTATTAATGTCTCACCTGATAAAGAGGTCACTTCGCATTCTTCATTTGCACCTTAGTCTTTTGTTACATTTAGAAATGAAAAGGGTAACGAACATCAGCTTTAATATATATACTTCGAAATTTTGCAATTTGAAGTTATTAGCATTTGTATCATTTATTGTTGCCTAGGTGTTCTGGTATATCTGATGCAGCCTCTCCGCATTTTTTACAGGGGACACAATATCACAATGCAGTCCAGAAGTTCATTGATGTTTGCAAGTTGAATGAGTAGGTTAAAATGAATGATCACCATGAACAAAGGATCTAAGCAATTTTCTCTCCAGCAGTATCTGCTCCTCAGCTTCATCATTCTGTATACGACCAACTAGCACACCTCTTGGCTATGGAGCATCCACCGAGTCAACTCCTGGGGGGAAATTTCAGGTGCAGACAATGAGGATCGGGTGACTTACTGGTAAATTGCGATGGAAAAAAATTGGAGCATGAGTTTAGCCTTTCCAGTTACGAATATTCATACCTCGTTCAAATTATAATGTTTTTCATGAAATTCTTTTTCTTAACCTTACTGATTGGTTTTGGACTTTCAACTCTCTTTTCACGAGTTGTTGATAGTGAAGATATACATTGCATATTAGGTAAGGCATACGAGAAACTTCACCTTTACATTGCTTAAACCTCTTTCTTTTGGAAAAGAAATAGCAGTGCATTTCCCATAAAAGCCAAAATTTACTATTTCCTCTTCATTTGTTGTCATGAAGGATGTAAAAGAAGATTTTTACCTCTCATACACATGAAGCTGAATCATAAAAGCACATAGGTTTAACTTCATTGGCCTGCTTTTTCCACATTATTCAAAGTCAAGTTAGAAAGGGCAGATTATGATATGAAAGATGGGGGTAATCTTTCATTTTCGATGGCTGATTTTCAGCACCTGATCAAGTGGGAAGTGGGAAAACTTAAAGTTGAAGTTTAAATCCTTGTCAATGGTTGATTCTTTGAAGGGTCCCACCTGCTAATTCTGCTTAGTGGGTGGATCCACCCATGCTTGATTTTGGGCTATAGAGTCTGTCTTGTAAAGATTGCAATGTTTATAAGGGGAATGCCTTCTGGGTTGAGGCATAGGAGGGATAATAATTGTGCCATATTTAGTCACTATGCTCGTGTGAGTATTTTTTTCCTCTGTTGATCCTGCAACTAAAATTTTAGCCATGAAAAGACATGGACCTTTGTCACGAGCAATGACATGCTCGTTTTCACTCAGTGACCACCTAACAATCAAATCACTCAAAAAAATTTGGACAGTTTTATTTTTCAACTTTGGTTGGATACATATTCACGGTATTGCTTTGTGATGGTATAATATCACCTTATGTGCAAAGACGTTCCTCCAAAATCATATCGTGACAAACGCATGAATTATGATGTGAAAATTGATTCTATTCTACTTTAAGCTCCTTGTACAAATAACCTTGTTTTGATTTTATCTCCAGCCTTGAAAAAACTTGTTATTTTTGAAGTTTTGGCAATGATAATTAATATATTTAGATATAATAAATCAAACATAAACGTATAGGTAGGCAAAAAGAATATATACGATACAAGTATACTAATTTGGTGTAGGATGTGTAGTGTATATACGATACTAGTATACTAATTTGGTTTCTAGCATGGTGAAATTAGCGCCAAAAAGAAATTCCCCATGGAATTAAAGACTAAAGAGCATGAGGAAGAAGAGTTAGGAAACATAGTAAAAGCATATTATGACGAAGAAAGGTGGGTTGAGACAATAATAAAAGCACTCAGCTTTCTCTCTCCAACTGTTGGCCGACACACATAATAAAGAGCCGCACAAAGGCAGTGCTGGATCTTGCTTTTGGACCATCTGCAAGAAATAAAGAACACAGAACTGCACTTTGCGGATCTCCTTCATAACTCTCCATCCTAACAATGGATTCTGCTCGATGGCCACAGGTATGGCTGATTGATTGACCCTTCTCTTATCTAATGGAAATCTGTGTGTGTGTGTGTGTGTGTTGAGATGAATATTGGGGCATGCAGGTTGAGGTTAAAAGCATGGAACTAGAGGAAGAGGGTAGAAGGGCAGGTTTGGAGAGAAAAGCAAAGCCTGGGAAAGATCAAATATTGAACTGCCCACGATGCAATTCCAACAACACGAAGTTCTGTTACTACAACAATTACAGCCTCTCCCAGCCAAGATACTTCTGCAAGTCTTGTAGAAGATATTGGACAGCAGGTGGGTCCTTGAGGAACATCCCAGTGGGTGGCGCCTCCAGGAAGAACAAGAGACCTCCTTCACCCAATTTTCCATCACCTCCAAAGAACAACAATAAGGATTACATGAGTAATGGTGATGATGATGATCAGGGCAACTCCCAATCATCCAATATCAATACTCCTTGCCCTTCTGCTACTAATATTGCTACTTGTTGGCTGTCGTGTGATGGTATGAATGATCAAATAATGGTGAGAAGCAGTGGAATAATGTCCCCAAGGGAGCTGATTCCTTTTATACCCATGCCTGTACCAGCTCCTCCGCAGCCCACTACTAGTACTATTACTGCACCCGATGCTTGTAACCCTTCAACGACATTATTCACCACTACTGTGGAGGATTTCAAGCAACTTCCAACCATCATTTCTACTGATCATCAAAATGGAGCCAAGTTGGGAGAGGTTCCTGCTTTTTGGAATGGGATTTACGGAGGAGGTTCATGGTGAGCTTCATCACAAAATAAGCTAAAGCTGAATATATACATATATGTAACTAAAGTTGGGATGATTTGATTTTCTCATAGCATTTTTATGTATTTATTTGTGTTTAGGGATCCTCATATTTTCTGCATAATCTCACTCAAAATTATGAATTACAGAAGATCAAAATTCAAACTTTATAAACTCTAGAATGAACAACTATCAATGCTTCAAAATACACTCAAGTAAGGGTTAAATTGCCACGAACGATGATGGCAGACACAATAACACATACCCTTTCAATCAAACATCACATGTTAGGCCTAATTACCTTGTAGCTTCTATGGCATGCCTAGTGTGTTGACACAAATATATTCCATTTCAAATTTTTATTTAATGTTATTGATTAGTGTTGATTAACATGGAATTTAGAGCTGATAGGGTTCTTCTTACTATCATTGCTTACTTTCATTAATGCATTGCATGATTTGTATGATCAAAAGGATATGAATAACAAAAGACAAGTAGATTTAAAGAGGAAGGAATCATAGGGTTTGGTTTCCCTAAGTTTTTAAATTCTTTTTATAATAAGGGTTGAGAATGGAAAAGCCGTAGGAGAATGATGATCATCATGAAATCCATTTGCATTTCAAAGTTTGGTTGGTGAAATGTAACTTTCAAAGTGTGGTATTCCATTTTTATTTTTCTTTATTCTTCTCAACTTCTCCACAAATTTGGAAGGATCTTGCTTTAACTACGCTTCAATCCTTTTATTTTAAAACTGAGCGAACAAAAAAAAAGTAATGTCATTTATCTCATTCAAATCAGTAAATTATTTCAAAAATGATTTTGAAGTTCATAAATTTACTAATAATTATGCATGTCACGCTCATTCGCAGCGGCGTATAAACTTTGGCTCGCGTGCATGAGCTAGTGTCACTATTCCCTACTTGAATTTATGAACTTGTTACTTTTTAAAATATTGAAATCATAAACAAATATCAAAATTACTACTTGACAATAATATTTTGAATGAGTGAAACTTAGAAGTAACTCAAATATGGTCTTACACTAAACTTAACCTACCAAATGGAGGAGTAGTTTTTTTTTTAATGAAAAAAATAGTTTCGATAAAGTTACAAAATTTAAGGAGGACGAAGATCTATGTGTGTGTGTATAGTTCCGAAATGGTAATAATTTTATATCCCAATTGAGAGATAGAGCAGGCAAGAACCGGAGGAAATCCGAATCATTGATGTTGTCTGTCTGTTCCATGAAAGTAAAATTGTGAACTTTGCAAATAATAGAGTCCCATCGCCCCAACCGAACGGCTTCCCAAAGGGAACAACCGGGCTGACCTACCTTGAGCATTGAAGGGACTCGCTGTTTCATCCTAAATTCACCGCCTTTTTGAAGGAGCATGTCGGACGCTTATTGGAGGTATAGCGACTCGCAGCAGCAACCTCCGTCGTCGGTTCCTTCCGTCGCCGGGAAGCGCCCTCGCGTCGATTACGGTAATAAACAAACAACTCCATTGTCTACCCTCTTTCCCGCTTGTTTCGTACATTTGGAATTAGGGTTTTCTTGAGGTCACTGAATTTGAGGTTTCCCCATATGTCCCGAGTTGCTAAATTGTACTTCGATTTTAACGAACTTTGAGTGGAAGATGGGATTACTGGAAAACAGTAATATGCAGAGATTGATTCTGTTAACATGGGTTTTCTCTTAAAATCTTATCTTCATCCATTTGCTGTAGACATGTTAGGAAATTTCCAGAATGGTTGGAAGGGATTAAGTGCGATTTGTGCATGATTCTGTTGTCCTCCAAGATATTTTCTTGCTCTATATATCAAAATTTTACTGATTCGCTGACCACGTTTTGTGGAACTAAGTATCTCCATAAGTCAAATTAGACAAATTTATTGGTTTTCACGAGTGTTAGGATGGTAGTGACTAGAGGGTGTCCTTAATGCGCACTTTGAAATTATCTGTTCTCCTATTATCGAGTTCTTACTTGTAACATTTTGGTTAAAGGCTCAAAGTACGCCACTAAAGGAATGCGTTTTTGTCAACCATGTTTCTAGTTTCTATTCAGAGTACGATTCTTTAAGAAATTTTCCAGAAACAAACCAATTCATTAAAACAAGAAGGTAAAATGGTGGTCTATTAATGTTCATAACTGAAAGCTTTGCATATTAATGTTCACATCATTCTTTATGTTCTTGACCTAGTACACTTTAATTTTTTCGAGTCATGATGTCACTGTTGATTGAAGCAACACAATTCTGTGTGACCTCCTTTGCAGACACTTTGTTTCTTTTTCTTTTCTTTATTTGGCACATAATTCGTGGTTAATGTCTTGTAGATACCAGTGGTCCTCACGATTTGCCCAACTATTACCCTCGTCAAGATGATAGACCAATCCTCCAAGGAATTAAAAGCGTTGATTCCATCAATGAGTCCTATGAACGTTACCTGCGCAGCTCGGTACTTGTTTCACTTTGAAGGTTCAATTCTGTTTTCTATGTGTTTTCACATTCAAGTTCATTCTATTTAACCACGCAACTTCTTTTTTTTTTTTTTCCAGAAAATTTCATCTTATGGTGAACAGTCTGCTAGACCCGTTGGTGGGGGAGTTCCTGGTCATTCAATCAATGATCCTCCTCCTATAGTCGGGATTGGGGGTGTGGTTTCAGGGGCCAATGTTAATGATAGAAGTGCGAGCTTTGGAGGTGGAAGGCCTAACGTACCCCTTCCTCCAGATGCTTCTAATACACTATTTGTTGAAGGCTTGCCTTCCAGCTGTACACGGCGTGAAATAGCTCGTATCTTTTTCTAATTTTTTCCATTTAGCATTCTTGTATTGTTAAAGGCATTCTTGTATTGTGTTACATTGTCTCCCTCACATTCCCCCGTAGATATATTTCGCCCTTTTGTGGGCTACAAAGAAGTGAGACTTGTTAACAAGGAATCCAGAAATGTAAGTTGATATGTTGAAACTCTGTTTTCATTTAATATGGGACGCCATTAACTAAAAAATGAATTTTCTTTACCTAACGTGTGCAGCCTGGAAGAGATTCAGTGGTGCTTGGTTTTGTAGATTTTGTGAGTCCTGCCCATGCAGCCACGGCAATGGATGCCTTACAAGGTGTGCTTGCAGCTTTAATTATCAATTTCTTTACCGTTGTTTTCTGGCTGTTGAACATTTGCACTTTCGTTTTTGTCTATCGACAGATGTCACTATCGGAGAATTATGTGCCTTTAATTTATATATTTATTTTGACTTGTCTTCACGAAAAAGTTATCCATTTGTCTTTCTCCTGCATAATTTGTGATGTCCTTTTGATATCTTTACCCAAACATGGGCACATTTGTGTTTATATATCTATACAAGCTATTTTCCCAATGTACAGATTCAGACATGTTTGGGGATGGTTTTTTATGTGTATCATATGGCTCTCTTTTCTCCATAGTGGGAATGTATTTGCATGTGTATCATAGGGTTCTTAGATTCCAAGTTGTGTGGCGTGAAGAATTTGAGTTTGTCGATGCTATCCTGCATTCGACCGGTGGGAAATCTTGTTAGTTATGTGATTGGTATCATAGATTATGCAGTCCAGCATCTCATGTTGACTTTCTGTTCTTCAGCAGATGTGAATCTTATTACATTTAGGACCAACTAGCCGTGAAGTTTTAAATTATGTTTATTAGTTTAATTGTGATTAACTCGATGATCTTTGACCTATACATTCGATACCCTTTCTAATATTCACGTTAAAATTTGGACTTGGAGTCGTGATTCATACACCTCAGTTGTTAGGAAGACTAAATCATGGTCGCCAAACTCAACCATGAGATCACATCGCCATGAGTGTAATAAGTTCCTTTGTGATATGCCCTTTTGAATTAAGTAGTAAAGTTAAGTATGATAAAATATAAAGGTGATAATTATACCATTTGTGATTCAAATCGTTTTGCTGCGCCTTGTATCCGATATCTGTTCTTTTCCTATCTCGTCGTTCTACACGTAGCTGTTGCATATATCAGTCGAGCTCGATTTTGCAGGTTATAAATTTGATGAGTTTGACCGTGACTCGGTCAATTTAAGGTTGCAATTTGCTCGCTTTCCTGGTGCAAGGTCAGGTGGTGGGCATCGTGGAAAGCGTTGAATTATGTGATTTCGCAGGTGATAAAACGCCTTCTTTGATCCTCTCGACCAATTATTTTCTTTGCCACATGGTAAAGTCCAAGGAAAAGTTTATTTAAACATTGAATCACTCTAAATCGTGGATGAATCTTGTGTAGGATTTGCGCGTACTGTGAAGTTATGAATTTGAGGCAATGTGACAGTCAGGATATCAAAAACCGGAGCGTATTAGTTAGGACCGATTGAATTCGTAAACATTAATGTGTTGGAATCTTGTGATTTGGAGCGTTATTTTATGTTTACAATCTCACTCTGTATTTATGCGTGCTGCTACGAACGTGTTGTTGAGCTGTGCTGTGGGATAAATTTTTGCGTTGATCATTATTTTCGACTCAGTGAGAATTTCAGCTCAACAATATCCAGACATGAGTTCAGCGACGAAAAGAAGTAGTCTTACTTATAGATTACACTTCATTGTTATTTTCCTTCATTTTTCAATTTAAAACTATGTTCCAAAGCTGTGCATTTTCTCTGAGAAGAGTTTTTCTTTACTGCAATGTGATCAGGTAGAGAATAAACTGCATTCTCGAGCTGACATGATGCATTGAGTTTGGAGACTACCGAATGCTGTAAATTGGAGTATTCATTTTTTAGATCTTTGGTGGTTTCTTGCACCATCGCTCTAGACATCGGATTCACAACACTTCTCCGCCCTAGCCCTATATTGGAAATGCTTTCCCCCCTGGGCATGTATAGATGCAATTCCAATTGTGGAGTCACTACTGAAGGCTAACTGATTAGCCCTATATTGGGTTTCTCGTTATGACTGCAAGGAGCTTTGGCAATTGCTGCCAAGACTTAAGCCTGGCTTGATATTGATTTGTTGCTTGTGGCCTTTTCTACTGGTGAGTGATTGGGTTGATTTGGGGCTCAAGAAAACGTATATGCAGAATTGAATAGCAACATGATTCTGGTGTATCAGAAATAGACAATGGGAGTGCAAGTAATAGGAACCAACTTCATATCAGAGCTTGTTGTTGCTGCTACTGCATTTATGGTGAGGAAATTTATGCACACAAAACGTGCTTGTCTGTGTTATCAAGAGGACATTTTTCTGTAATAATGGAGGAAGTCTTTGCTTCCAGCTTAGAGACAGAAGGTGGGAAAGGTTATAGAATCCGCATTGTTGTTGATTTCTTTTACAAATATTCCTTGCAAATTAAGCAATAGAAATGGGGATTCAAACCAAAGGCTTGTTTTTACTTCACTCTCAATCCCGAGTGATAACTGGAATAGGGCTAACATTTTAACTGTTTTAACTGTTTGGACTAAGTAAAAAAAAAAAAAATAAATAAATAAAATAAATAAAAACTGGATTAGGGCTAAATAAGTGATAACTTAGAAGAGGACATTTTTTCTTGAAATTTTGAGGAGATGGGTTATTTATCCAAAAATCCTACGCTTCGAAAAAAACTCGTCGTCTCGTCTGTAAATATCATCCGAAAGTGAAGATAGGACAGCGATGACTTCTCCAATCCCGACACTCTCCTTTGCTTCCCCTGTAATCACTCTCTCTCTGTTTGGCTCTTCGGCATATTAATGGCGCAATCTCGAATATGAATATTCTGCTTTATGCCTTTGTTGATCTTTCTATCTTTAGCTTCTCTTTCAAAATACATCAAATTTTGCTTATGTTGCCCATTTTTTCTAGTTGTTTCAGAGGATACAGACGAGGGCGGGAATTTCTCATGGATTTAACTTTCCTCCGCGGTTACAGGTTAAGATTCGAGAGATTCTCTCAACATCAAAGTTAAACATGCTCTCTTCGGCCCTTATTGTTCATGTCTTGTTGTTTTAAGTTTTCAGGTGGCCGCCAGAAAGCAAAGAGATGGTGAGGGTGTCGGTCGGCGAGTGTGGCGACGAAGAAAATTGGTATGGAGAACGTGCTTGTTCTTTCTCTAAATTTCTCCCTTGCACCTATGTCTTTTATCTCATTCGTTTTCCATTTCGTGTCACTCTCCTTATCTGTGATTTTATTCCTTTGCGTTTAATCGAGTTAAGTTCTTCAAATTTAGATGTTTAGGGTAGTTCTACGACGAAGATTTTGGGTAGTAGATAGTAGGTTCTACGAGACAAGCACCTGTAGAAAACTGAAACACCACGAGTCTACCTTACAATAAAGAAGAAGAAATGGAAGTATTGCAATGTGCTAAATTTGTTAAAGGGTCACTAGTTGGTACATGTTATCTACTATGTGTGATACATGTGTTGAAGGGTCACTTGTACATGTATAGATACATGTAAAAGTACATGTATGAATAGATGCATGTAGGTTCATTAGTTCCTAATAAATAGGTGCACGATTATTGGATAATGAATGGTAATGGAGAATGTCCCAAATTACCTATATATATGTATGTTGGCATTGGTGGAATGCGTAGAAAATCAATCAAGCATTCCTTCCTAGTTTTCAAAGTTCTTTTCTCTTAAAGAATTCTACCAAATTTCTTGGACCTATATTTTCTTGTGCACAATGGTAGCCGACTTTTCTAACCAGGCCCTCTAGGTTTGAATCTATGGTTTCTTCTACTAAAAGAACAATTTTTTTTTGTAGCATTCAGTTTCATGTACCACATTTTCGTATCAATTTTTTTTTTGTTCTACTTCAGTTGGAACATTATTCATCTATTGGATTCCACTCTCTTTTCTATTTTAGCTCTTTGTTTAACAAACATTGAGAATTTAATCATTGCTTCTGCAATATTTTCTCATCTTTCTCTCTTTTTTTTACCAACACTTTGCTATTAGGTATAGTTTGTCATCTACAGTACAACACTGATGTGTAAACTTTGGGAAGAACTAATTTGTATTTGGTGTTTTTTACGGCGATTATTGGAGATGTTATGCTTGTTATAGCTTCTGTTTAGAGTAATGAAACCAAATGAATGGTGTTTTATCGGTAACTATTTAAATGTGGATGTCAGAATGATTCCGTTTTTCAATCCATCAAACTTGATAATTAATCTCGATTAGGACACAAGCTCCATGGGTAGTTAAGTTGAGAACATTCGTAGAGAATGTGGGATTATAGGTTCATGGTGGTATAGGATATGCAACTGCTACAAGTTTCTTAGTAACCATACATGTAGATCAGGCAGTTGTCTAGATGAAATTAGGTGAGATGTGTAAATTGGCCTAGATACAACGATGTAGGATTGAAGCTTGAAATCGTTTATGATGTAGAACATCTTCGCTAAGATGAGAATTAGTCATAATCACTCATCATCATTTTGGCAGACTTCTATATGTTGTTCTCATTGACATTGAAACATTGAATTGGATTCATTGTGCAGACGAAGAAGGATGAGATGTCGATCTTCAAAATGGATCGAATCCCATTCCTTGAAGAACAGGTAAGGAAGGTGAAGGAACAGGGGAAGCTTATAACAATGGACATCGAAAGACTTCTGCTATCAGAGGACAACCGCTTCGATTTTGTGAACGAGGTTGCAGCAGAGGCTAAGGAATACGTGGAGAACAATCGTGACGAATATGGGGGTTCCAAGAAAGCCATTCTTCATGTTCTTAGCAACCGAGTGAACGATGCAGGGTTCTATCGGCCGGATGCATATGCAGAAGAGGACCCATTTAAACCCGGACCTCATTATCTCAAACAAGAATTTACTTGAACAACCTTATTACAATATCCATTTTCCTATACAAACTTAGTCTATGTAGTAATTTGCTTTACCTACTCTGTTGTTGTATGTTCGCTACTGCATATTTCTCTTGTGATTAAGAATCCTGCTTGCATTTTACTTACAATTGAGAAGGAATGCCACTACATAAGCAGAGAATATAATGCAAATATTTGCTGCTTTCCTTCACTAAATTCTCTTTACTTCTCTGTAGTTGAAAAAAATTGTAATATATGGGCTTTCGAGAAATGTTTAATTATAGTTATTTCAAAATTAAATGATTTCTTCTAAGCATGTGGGCTTCGGATCTCATCTGACCCAATTTCTGGATGGATTTTAGGCCTTTAATGATTTAAATGGGCCGCATATGGGCTTCGGATCTCATCTGGACCAATTCCATCCGAAGATGTCTGTCTGTCGTGATAAGTGAACAAGAACGCGAGTATCGTGGTTTCCCATACTCTCAAGAAACACCAATTCATTTGTATGTGTCTCTTTTTTTACTCTAAATATAATCTTGATTGGCCACCGTTGAAAATAAAATTAAATAAAGAAAATGTAAATCAGCCCGAAGACTGTACCCGCGAGAAACATCAGAACTGTTTCCTTCAGAATTTTCTTGAGATTCTTAGTTTCTGTGGAGAGGTATTTGTTTGACAAGAGAGTGACCACATATATGATCGAGCTGAAGATGGAAAGATTGCCAGCGGAAATCTGCTTGAAGATATTCTGTTTGTTGGATTCCCAGAGCCTCGCAACCGCACTTCAAGGTCAGCGTCATGTTACCGCTAAATTAAATTCTTCTAACTTTCTTGAATTTTACGTACAATTGGTCTATTTAGCTATTTGCTGATCAATCCATTAGAATTTAGCTAGAATTTTGCAATCTTTCCTTGGAGGAATTATGAGGTTCTGCTTTTCCGATTGATGTTTAGTTCAATTGACTAGTTTTCATCGGATATTTGACAAATCCAGACAAATTATGATCTTTACTGATTAGTTTCTGATCCAAAAGATCTGATATGGTCTTCAGAAATTTTCTATGGATTTTCTTTCGTGTATGTATTCTGATTTGATGTTTGCGTCTTCTTAACTGGATAAACTGTATGGAGTGCAGCGTATTGCTGGGAGAATTAATATTTATAGATGAACTGTATATAAGTTTTATCATGATTTGTAATTACCTCATGATGCATTCATGCTAATGTGTGTCAAATTTAACGCTGTTCTGTTCATATATGTTGAACTGAAATGGAATGAGGTGAGACTGCAAACCATCACCTGCAAATCGTCACCATGAAGAATTTTTGGTAAACTAAGTGTATATTTCCCCGAGATGCTTGATCATTGCTTGACTTATCCCCCAATTTATGAAGATTCATTGAAGTTAGAAGGCTTGGCAGAGTAAATCATTTTTCAACAAGTTTTCCTTATTCTTCTTAATGTATGTCAACCACCCGGTTGAGTTGAAAGGGTTGACATGGCAGCTTGTTTAGAATTCTACACAAACTCTCACAACTTAAATCACATTCAATATGAATATATATCCATGACATTTGAACTCAATAAACCTATATATATCACATGTTATGAAACTTGAGTAACCTTGGTTAAATCTAACAGACTTTTAGAAAGATGATCAGCAGGGATTTGACACTCCCCAATCTAATGGATTAGATGTCATAGGAAGATTTAACTTGATTGGTAGGAATGATATTTCGAAGTTGCTAATGATCCCCCCTCTTTCTTACTGGTCTGAGTTGAAGGGGAGATTTGCCATCAAAGTTGAAGAGAAAAGTTGCTCTGATGGAATGAAACCTAGATGAAGAAGGAAATCATCTTTCTAACATAGGATAATGAGGAACATCCTTTGCCTTCCTTTGTTGTTACTATATTACCAACAAACTTTTGACACGGAGCCAACTAAAAGTAGAATTGAGTTTCTAAGGGTAATTTTATAATATTAGTGAACTCAGGGACCAAGATGAATAGATAAATAAATAAAATATAGGAATGAAAACTAGATTTACTCTGGAATTTCCTCAATAGTTGATCCCCACCCGCTGTTGATTTATGCTTCAATTGACTTTTAGCTATTAACTCTGCACCCTGCTGCTTGAAGTCTGCAGGAAGTGGAACTCCTTAGCTTCAGACAATATCTTATGGTCGAATTTATTCAAAGAGAGGTGGGGGGAAGACCATGCTGCATTTTATCACCCAGTTGGTTCGAAGTCATGGAAGGATTCATATGAAGTGCAAGATCGATGTGACCGATTTGGACTGTGAGTCACATTCTTCTTCTTATCACTCAATTTAAGGGGACACTATGTTTTCCTTAATTCTTTGATCCCGTTAAGTCAAATATTGCGTTTCCTGGGTTTATGTTTGACAAGATAAACCATGTTTTTGATAAATACTAAAGCTAGAGTAGAGATTTGAATCATAATTTATGATTACAATATATGTTTATTTGTGCTTCATATGACATAGAAACTGTAACCAGGGGCCTAAGAATAATCCGAGAAGGGAGCGACTACTACCTCATTCACCAAGGTGAAATTCAGAGACACCTGGGTTCAAGAAGACAAAAGAATGGACAGACTAGTTTTCTTCCTTTGAGTTCAAAAAGAGAGTTGCTATCAGAAGGACTTCTCGATGAAGACAAATCCTGTCGAGGAATTCTGGACAGAATCCTTTTCTTCATTGGAGACTTGGAAGTTGCTTCAACGGATGCAAAGCGTAGCAGGGCTCTGTGAAGCTTCCTTCAGTCTGCAAAAATTATGTGAATTTTATGTATAATAATCATTTGTGTATGTTGACATTGAATTCTGTCCAAGTGTAGAATATATATCGTATGTTCCTTGAAATGCCATAAATAAGTTCATCTTCTTCAAGCACTTTGTATTGAGACCTCAAACCAAAGCCTTACGCCGCCAGTATGAAACCAGCATACTCGACAAGGTGCTCAATGTTTCTACGACCAAATATAAATATGTAATATACATGAGTCGAAGCGAAAAATTGCAGTTGTTGTGGTAATGTCTTTCAAGCTCCTCCATTACAAGTAGATGTTTTTTTGGAAAGTCGAGGATGCCCTTCTGTTCAGAGTCTCCTCAAACTACTTCCAAGGGTCTGTAAGTAAATTATAAAACAGCTCAGAAATATTCAATAAAGTTGCTATTTTCGGATGAAGGAAATCTATATGGAAGTGGGTTAGATAAAATATCCACCACAGACTCGGATTATCAGAAATCTAAATCCGCAATCACTTGCCCCACAAGCTCTCAAATATCTACCCGTGCTGAGTAGGTGGAAGAATACAATTATACATAAGCATCGACATCATATGTTGGGCATTTTCTTTTAGTTGATTTCACTGGACGAAGATCCTAAAGATGGCTGCTTTTGCCCCGCTGCCGTTAACTTCGCCTTCTTTACATCCTGTTGTCCAATTCTCACCTCTTGTGTTCTCCTCAAAAGTTCTATATGACCCAAGTTCCCATTGCCTCACCGTCGGATCAATAAGACATGCAAGGCAAAAATTCACCTCCCAGACTAACCCGAGGAGCCTGATAATCCTTGGTGCAGCAACAAAAAGAGCAAAAACACCAGGTATTCTCTTCTAGTTGATCTAATATTTAATCAGACAGTGCTCTTTTTCCAGGTAATATGGTAGAAATTTCAATCTTTTTAGTTTTAATTCACTAGCATAAAAGTGGGTTTATTCTCGTCTATCTGGAGGATTCAGCTGAAGAGGATTGGAAGGTGAAGAGGGAACTTCTGCTGCAGAAAAGGGTTCGACTCTCTATCCACCTCTCGAGTGTATATTGGATGAGTGTTCGGTTTCATTAATCTAAAACTACATGGAAACACATTACACTTGTTTTCGTCACAAGATCCGAGTTTTGGTCATAACAAAGCTTGAAATTTTATGAACATGAGAATTAAGATCTTTACTGCAGGTTAGGAGTGTGGATGCGAATGAAGCTCTGCGCCTTCAGAAGGAAAATAACTTCGTGATTCTTGATGTGAGGCCAGAAGCAGAATTCAAAGAGGTTAGTAGAGTATTTTTTTTCTTTAAGTCTAGAACAACCAATGAAATGTTACATCTTATTTCCACTTTTTGGTGTAGGGCCATCCACCAGGGGCCATTAATGTGCAAATTTACAGGCTGATAAAGGAGTGGACAGCATGGGACATAGCCAGGCGAGCTGCATTTGCATTTTTTGGCATCTTTTCGGGTACAGAAGAAAACCCAGAATTCTTGCAAAGTAAGTTGCTTATGAACACCTTCTTCACTTGACGCCTTGTTCTCAAGTGATATGGAGAAGTGAATGACCGAGTGTATTCTACAGGTGTAGAATCTAAAATAGCTAAAGATGCCAAAATAATAGTAGCATGCTCATCAGGTGGAACAATGAAACCTACCCAGAATCTTCCAGAAGGTCAACAATCAAGGTACTCGAGCTCTTGACAGTAACTTTTTGAGTTTTCTCAACTTTGCAGAGTAATATGCATATTATATGAGCATTACATGTTTTTTTTTTATATTTTACAAGTATCACTCATCGTTTGGTTAACACTGTTCAACGGGTTGAACAGTGCAAACAATGATTTGTTCAACGAGTATTAACAAGATGAAGAATCAATAAGATGAATCTGCAGTCCAAAATCGCATGTGCCTTCTGTTTCTTGCTTGAGGTTTATTTGCTTTTTCACTGCAATTGGAAAATAAGTTTTAAGTTTTGACGCTTTTAACAGGTCATTGATAGCAGCCTACTTGTTGGTTCTCAATGGCTACACCAATGTATTTCATTTAGAAGGTGGTCTCTATAATTGGTTCAAAGAAGGATTGCCTGTAGATTCAGAAGAGTAAGATGGTCTCTACAAGATTTTCGGAAGTAAAATAGGTTGTCATTTTTGGTGGGCGCCCCATTAGAGAGCAGAGCCAAGTGCTCTGGCAAGACTTGCTTGGGTTGTGAGTGTTAACCACTACAGCATCCCCAGGATCCTCCTTTGTAAATGTTCAATTATAAGTTGGACAGAATGGAAGACTAGATTTTGTTTCACTGCGGAAATACCCATTCCCGTTTGATGTTTAGTTTGCAATGAAAAATGTGTATGCATAAGTTTTCGCTGTAATGCTGCAACTATTATGATATTCCAGTTGAGGTATTGAACTCATAAATCTGTAAATTCGTTCAGCTTATTAAAAGCTAGAAGATTGTATGTCCTATGAATCACAGTCACCGAAACTTATCAGTTATCAGGCAGTAGGACTGGGTTGTCGCATAATAATTCGTCAATTACATGCTGCTTGAGCTTGTTAAAAATTACATGCTGAAGGTTGAATAGGTTTCCCTTTAACAATTATAGAACCATCAATGTTTAAAATAGTGGAAACAATTGTATGTATATTACAAAACTCATCTACTCAAACTCATCGACAAGATTTCCCTATAACAATTATGGAACCATCAATGTTAAAACGATGGCGTTACAGTGATAAATGAAACACAAATCTCTCCCACTCTCCATGGGTGGTCTTTTTCCTGCACCAACATGGAGTGAAGTCCGGATATCTCTCAAGGGTCATCGTCTTCTGATCCAACATTCGGAAGGGAAATGCCAAACTTAGAGAGTTCGCTCAAAACTGCTTGAATCCGGGGATCACTGCTCTCTGTCCGAAGCGACTCTAATCCAGCATATTCGCTAGCAACAACCTTTGTCTTCCTTGATGAGATGAGAGCGGACTCCATATCTGACTGTGACAATGGCCTCGGGGACTGAAAAGTAATAATGTAAGAGAAACTGAGAAACATAAAGGGAGGAAAAGGAAGAGGAAAGGAGGAAATGACACGTCCACGAAAAGCTCAACAAGTGTATTAGCAAGGCCTCTCAGTCTAGAATCTAAATGACAATTTCAATTCATTGTAACTCCAATTATAAGAATTGACAAGGGCTGGCAGACAAAACATCAGGAACAAGGAAAACGAAGATGATGATAACTTACATTAGATTGTTTTCCAATTTTTTCTTCATCCAAAAGATCCCTGATTGGGAAGTATGCAGCTTTCTTGCAGAGCTCGAGAAGATCTGAACCAGTGTACCCCTCGCACAAGCTAGCTATGTGATCATAGTCAATGATGTCTTCAACCCTCTCACCCTTCAGAATCACATTTAGTATCTCAGCCCTCTCCCTTTTGTTGGGTACCCCAATTTCAAAAGCCTGAGGAAGCCTTCTTAGAATTGCTTCATCAAGTTCTGATGGACGATTGGTAGCAGCAAGGACCATAACACGTGCATTCTCTGTAGAAACAGAATAAAGTTCATCAAGCAAAAGCTTATTTTAAACTAACTGACTCGTTAAAATAGCAAATCAGATTTTTGAAAAACAAAATCCTGGTTATGGCCATGAAATTTTCCTTTTTTTCTTTTTCTTTTTATCTTGATTTTTTGTGATAAATTATAAAAGCACAGCAACCAATGCTTAAATATTCAGTAGTCTGTAGACATAGAAACTCACGATCTGTGGTAAATCCATCCCATAAAGCCATGAACTCAGTTTTCATGTTTGATAAAGCTTCATGATCACTAGAGCGTCGTTGACTCAAGAAACTGTCGACCTCATCAATAAAAATAATAGAAGGCTGAAGTTTATAAGCCAAGCTAAACACAGCAGCCACTGCAAAATGGTAGTTGATAAAGTTAAAATATAAAGGCAAAAACAAAATAGCATGTGTCTGACTATGACCAGTTGTATAATTTCTTAAAACAATGATCAGTTAGAAGTAGACCGAGTTTTATTACATACTTGATTGCTATGCTGAAGAAGAAATATACACTTACAATTGTGTATTTCATACATTATTACAATATATTCTACTTTTTCTTTTCTTTTTTTTTTTTTTTTTTTTTAGG